TAAGTCCTCTCCAACCTTAACCCTATATTTGCGGTCCTTCAGGAAACTGTCCACCATCCGACACACACCAGCTCCAAATCCCATGTCCATCATCTTGCAGACTATTCCATCATGCCAGACAGTATCAAATGCCTTGGCAAAGTCAAGGCTAATCGCTAATGTCGGCCGTCTGTTGTTCAAACCATTTGCTACATAGTCTGCAAATACCATCAAGGCATGGGAAGTGGAGTGGCCACTCCTAAATCCAAACTGAAAGTCCTTAATTATGTCCCCTTCAAGTATTCTATCATTTATTCTGTCCAGAATAAAATATTCAAGTAGCTTTCCAAATGCAGTTAGAAGGGAGATTGGCCTGTAGTTCCCACCCTGTCCAGGATCAGATCCTGGCTTCAGGATTGGAACCACTAAGGCCTCCCTCCATGCCGCAGGAAAGTACCCAATATTCATGCAGTGGTTAATGAGAATTGCTAGATATTCCCATGTCCTAGCGTCCGTCTTTCTCAGTACGAAGTCTGGTATACCGTCCACACCACTAGACTTTTTGTTCGATCGTCTTTTAAGTGCATCACGGATAGATGCATCATTTCAACACAAGTAATCGAGTATTTATACTTTTTCTGCTTACTAGTAATACGTTTAGGGGTTGATTATCTACACACGAAAATAAGTAAATAAACCAGTATATTGTACACACAAAAAAGGTATATAATGTGTACATATTGAGTTGAATTTTAAAATTTGTGAACAGTGTTAAAAGTGTTTGTGAAGTGTAAACTACTAAAAATTAATTAAATTGTGAAAAATGCCTCCTAAAGCAAGTGGAAAAGCAACCAAGAAGGCTGGCAAAGCCCAAAAGAATATTAGTAAAAGTGATAAGAGCAGAAAACGCAAGCGTAAGGAAAGTTATGCTATCTACATTTACAAAGTATTGAAGCAAGTACATCCTGATACTGGTATTTCATCAAAGGCCATGAGTATCATGAACAGTTTTGTTAATGATATTTTTGAACGTATTGCCGCTGAAGCATCTCGTTTGGCTCAATACAATAAACGTTCGACCATCACCAGTCGGGAAATTCAAACTGCCGTTCGTCTATTGTTGCCCGGTGAATTGGCTAAGCATGCCGTCAGTGAGGGTACCAAGGCTGTCACCAAATATACCAGTTCCAAGCAAATTTAATTTACTTAAATCGCCGTTTAATTCTTTTTCCTATTACAAAAGGCCATTTTCAGGGCCACAAAATACATTTAAAAAGAGTTATTTATTGTTTAAAACATATATATTTTTTCATTACATAATAAAAATTGTGATTATTGTAAAAATTTTCATATGTTCCAAGTAAATTTACTTTTATCTCCGTTTGATTCTTTTTTTATTATTACAAAAGGCCATTTTCAAGGCCACAAAATACATTTAAAAAGAGTCATTTATTGTTTAAAACATATAATTTTTCATTACACAATAATAAAATGTGATTATTGACAAATTTTTCATTATTTTTATTTAATAAAACGAACGAAACAGTATTTTATTTCAAATTTGCTTTCAAATTTTATAACTGACAAATTTTGATTTTATTTATCAAATTCACAAACCAAACTGTGTTGGTTTGTGAATTTGACAATTTTAATAAAAATGGTATGAATTTTTACTATTTTAGAGCAAGGGTGTTATGGATACTTAATTTTTAAATTAGGTGAAGTTGTAACAACTTATGAAATTTAAACAGTTTTTTTTTTGAAAATATTTAAAATTAACGATTTAATTCATAAAAAATACTAAAATTATCAATCCTATTCTGAAGGAAATGAATAATGAACAAATTTTCTATACAAAATCAAAATTTTATATTTATTTCATTTAATTCTTATTGTATTAGGTAAATTATTTCATTTGAATATGTAAAAATGTTTTTGTTTTGATTTTTCTAACTTACCAATAGTTTAAGAAGAAATTTTCTTTTACTTTTAATATTTGCACAAAATCCAACTCATTAAATAGTTTTTTTTACGATTCCATTACCTACTGTTTACTTAGTCTACTGAGTTTTATTTTATTAGTTTGTGTTTTACCGACGGCTTATGTGAAATTTTCATTGTAATTACAATTAAAATACACTAAAAAATGTGATTATTGTCAAATTTGTCATTATTTTTATTTAATAAAACGAACGAAAAAATATTTAACTTCAAACTGCTTTCAAATTTTATAACTGACAAAATTTGATCTTATTTATCAAATTCACAAACCAATCGATGTTGGTTTGTGAATTTGACAATTTAAATAAAAATGGTATGTGTTTTTTCTATTTTAGACCAAGAGTGTTATCTACACTAATTTTTTGAAATAAGTTAAGTTATTCGTTAATTATGAAATTTTAACCGTTTTTATTTTTGAAAATATAAAAAATTAACGATTTATTCATCTTATTCGTATTGTTTATTCAAACAAAATAATTTTTGCGAATTATTTTGTCAATTATTTCATTTGAATATGAAAAAATATTCTTTATTGTTTTGATTTTTCTAATTTTCCAATAGTTTAAAAAGAATTTTCATTTTACTTTACTCTTAAAATAACCCAACTCATTAAATATTATTTTATGATTCCATTACCTCATTAAATATTATTTTATGATTCCATTACCTATTGTTTACTTAGTCAATTGAGATTAAATGAGTTTTAGTTTATTAGTTTGTGTTTTACCGACGGCTTATGTGAAATTTTCATTGTAAATAAACATTTTTTCCTACCTATATGTGTATTTTTGTCCCTTTTCATAGCGATTATTCTTACTATTTTTATTTTATTTTGTGAAATATTTTAATAATATACAAGTTTTGAATTTGTAATTTAATCTCTTTTGTTGAAAAAATTTGTAGCCCTGAAAAGGGCTGTTTTAGATAATAGTACTTTTTGCAATATTAAAAATAAATTAGATTTACTTTTTGACTGCGGCCTTTTTGGCAGCTGGTTTCTTTGCTGGCGATGTTGCTTTTTTGGGTTTGGCTGCAGCTGCGGTTTTTGCTTTGGGCGCTTTTGTTTTAGTTGCTGGTGCCTTTTTGGCGGGTTTTGCTTTAACTGTACCTGTCTTTTTAGCAGTTTTTGCCTTGGATTTTTCTGTATTTTTCTTTTCAGCAGTCTTTTTGGCTGCAGATGGTTTCTTTGCAGGCGCAGCAGCGGGTTTCTTTTTAGTAGCGACTGCTGTTTTCTTCTTTTTTTCACTAGCAGCAGCTACCTTTTTCTTTTCAGCGGCGGGTTTCTTCTTTTCTTTTGGCTCTTTGGAGGCAGCTGCTGACAATTTGAATGAACCAGCAGCACCCTTACCTTTTGGTTGAATTAATTTTCCACTATCTACGGCACTTTTTAAATATTTCTTTATGAAAGGCGATAATTTTTGAGCATCTACCTTATAAGTACTGGCAATATATTTTTTAATAGCAGAAAGAGATGAACCACCACGTTCCTTTAAAGTTTTAATAGCAGCATCAACCATTTGTTGAGTTGGAGGATGAGATGGCACAGTAGATGGTTTCTTTGCCTTGGGAGTAGTAGTTTTTTTAGCCTTTTTCTCAGCAGCTGGAGCGGCAGCAACAGGAGAGGCAGTATTTTCAACAACAGCGGTATCCGACATTTTGTATTTGTTTATTTTATTTTTTCACTTTTTTTAAACACACTTGTATATGGTAGTATAACTTTTCGATTGTGTGCACACACGAAATTTTAAGGTACTTTGTTATAATGAGAAGTTAATAGTAGTCGATAGCTATAATTTTTTAAATTTTTAGTGAGAGCATGAGTAAAATTCAACAAAAGTTTTCTACTTTTTTCTTATTTTTCTTTAATTTTTAATAAAAATTTTATAAATTTATTGCTATTCTTGATAGTATGGGTTTTCTAGATTGCATTTTATTAAAAATTATTTATATTGTTTTTGTCAAACAATATTTATCATCATTTTTGTGATAAGTTTTTGATACATTTACCATAAAATGTAAATAAAATGTTAATAAATTGTTACATTTTTAGGAAATTTTATAACCAAGTTGATTTTATAAGAATATTACAAATGTTTTTTAAATGATTGATTAAAAAAATTCTCATAATTTTAATTTTTAGATTTTTGAAAATTATTTTTAAATTTGCTGTATTACTTGGTGATTTTTCTTGTTTTGCCACTGTGAATTTGCATTGTTTACATTTTTTCATAAATTTAATCAAATATCAAAAATAATAAAAAATTTTAGCCACATATCCAAATAATATTTATGACATTTTTCTAAAATAATTTCATAAAAGTTTTTCTTAAGTATTTTTCTTATTTTGTCACTTTAAATATATACTGTTTACATTTTTTCTATTTTTGGTCCACAAATTTAAGCAAATATAAAAAAATATTTAATGAAATTTTTCGCAATAAATCCTTATAATATCATAAATATCTTTCTAAAGTAATTTTATAAACATTTTTGTTAAATATGAAAACAAAAATTACTCTAAATTTAAAAACATTTTTAAGGAAAATACAAGTTTTTATAAATTTTCGATTAAAAAACTCTAATTTTGATATTTAGTCTCTCATTTTCTAAATTTCTTCAACACATCTTAAAACAATTTTTGTGAAATTATTTTCAATGTCATATGAAGTGTTAAACAAAATAAATTTCAATTTTTTTCAAAAAATTCTTTTTTAATGGAAATATATTATTAATTTCTTTGTTTATATTAAAAGTAGAAAAAAATTAAACTATTATTTCATAATATTCATATTATTTCTATTAAAATCCATAATTTCTATTAAAAAGTCAAATGAAAAAAGCCGACGGCAAAATTAATTGTTATGCCGACGGGAAAATATCATGTTATGCCGTCGGTAAAATAATGCTTCAACGAAAAATAAAATACTCTTTATAAATATGTTTATTGGCCCTTAAAAGAACCGATTCAGCATTGTTTACATAAATAAGAAAAAAAAAACTCTCTTTTTAAATTTTATTCAGTGGTCCTGAAAAGGACCGATTTTTTGTTACAATTCATCATCTCTATTTTCTTTCTTAAGCACGTTCACCACGAATACGTCTGGCCAATTGAATATCTTTCGGCATAATTGTGACACGTTTTGCATGAATGGCACACAAATTTGTATCTTCAAGTTCAAGTTCAAGTTTTATTGTTTCCAAAAATTCATTTACATTGCTTCTTAAGCTAAAATTCCTTATAATATCTTCCTAACACTATATCCATCTAAGACTTACTATAATTTAATTTAAATATTACAGCTTTGCCGTATTCAATCATCACATTAGAATTAATGTCCATTATCTACATTTCCGAAAAAAAGGAATAAAACGGAATACCATAGGATAAACTTATAAACTAACTTACAAACTAAATAATTCTTAAAACTAATTAACAAAAAAATGCAAAAATAAAAATAAAATAAAATAAAAATAATTCTGTTTCACAAAATCCATTATTGTAAAGTTATTGCTCGGTGTTGTACACCAGATCAGTCACATTAAGTGTGCCGACCCTTCTGTGATAAAACAAGAGGCCTGCACCTCCATATAAAATATTACCATTCCTAAGTTCCAACAGATCAAAAGGAGAGAAGTATCTATTCACATGCAGAGCCTCCAGATCAGGTAGATCCTGGAAACAATCTGCCACTAATTGGTTATCGAGGCGGGAAGATCGTTCAAGAAATTTAATGGCAGAACCAATCAAGAACGCGTCAACCCGCTCGAAGTCAATACCGCCATAAATTGTCCTACAAGAAGGACTACGGAAGTAGCCATTAGGTTGCATAGTGGGACGAAGACCCAGACAAGACGATAGAATTCGACGCTCCCATATCCTAAGCCTCTCCATCTGGTGAGATGATATCCCAAACCAGACTGGAAAGGCATAGGCTATGAGAGGTCTTATAATTTGCCTATAAACCAGGAGCCTGACCCTAGTGCTAAGTCCCGTCCTACGGCGGAGTAATCTGTAGTACATAAAATACACTTTTTTGACCTTATCCAAAATAAAGTCAATGTGCCTATAAAATTCAAAGTTTTCATGGAAAATCACGCCAAGGTACTTCATGCGATCAGAAGTTCTTATGACCTCACCACCAACGGTTAGATGTGGGATATAACCCCTAGCATTGGGGAAAAGTCGGCCACGTCTACCCTTAATCAAAACACTATCAGACTTACTAGCATTCAGTCTCAAGCCCCATTTGCCCAAATACTCATTGAGAGTACCCAAGTAAGCATTCACCCTACGATTCAGGGTTGACGCCCTCGGACCTTTCGCCGCAATTAGCATGTCGTCAGCATACATCAAAATAAGATCACCACTAGGAGGTTGAGGAATGTCAGATACCAGGATATTAAATAAAATGGGACCTAATAACGAACCTTGAGGAACACCAGCGACCACTTCCCTAGCCTCAGAAAATTCGGAACCTACTTTCACCCTAAAAGTCCGATCATTCAAGAAATTTGCCACCATCCGGCATGTATTACCGTCAAATCCGTACCCCAACATTTTAAAGATAATGCCCTTCTGCCATGCAGTGTCGAAGGCCTTAGCCAGATCCAAACTGACTGCCAAAGTCGGGTATCTGTCATTCAAACCCCTGGCCACATAATCCCCGAACACCGTAAGGGCATGGGAGGTAGAGTGACCACTCCTAAAACCAAATTGACTATCAGGTAAAACGCCACCGTCCAACAACCTATCAGATATTTTCGCCAATAGAAACGATTCCAGCAATTTACCAAAAGCCGATAGCATAGAAATCGGTCTATAACTCGCGACCTCTGTTGGATCGGATCCAGATTTCAGAATCGGCACCACCATTGCTACCTTCCAGTCCACAGGGAAATACCCGATGTTCAGACAGTGGTTGAAGAGAATCGCCAAGTATTTCCATGTCACCGAATCGGTCTTCTTCAGGACATAGTCAGGGATTCCATCTTGATTGCTGGATTTTTTGTTCTTCCTTGTTTTGAGGGCACTCCTAATCCGACTTGGTGTAATTAAGTCAATCCGAGTAGAGTGGTGATCAATCATATTAGAGCCATCAGCCAATGCGTCCGTTCCAAAGGTCAAGACTGGGATGTGGTTAGAAATTGTCGAGATCGTCTGTTCAACTGTATCAACCAAGGATGGTAAGCGTAAGTCTTCATTACCCCGGTGAATTCTATCAAAACCCTCGGCGAGTAATTCAGCCTTATCAGAGTCAATGGGAATAAGGGTCCCCCTAGAGTCCTTTAAGTCAGTTATATCCGTTCTCCTTCTTATGCCAGCACCCCTTTTAACCAGCCGAAAAGTCCTATTGTTCACTTCAATCTTCTGAAGAAAGTCACACCAATAGCTCTCCTCAAACACTGCGATCGCCCCTTGGATGATCCTGTCAAGGTTCCTAATTTCAGCCCTAAGAGTAGAACATCTGCTTGGGTCAATAGTCCTCCATAATGTCCGTCGTAGTCTTTTCTTTTCAGCGATAAAATTCAGGATGTTAGGTGGAAGCTGCAATAAACCTCTGTTACCCGAAGGTAATTTAGGAATAGCCTCATCCATCGCAGTCCTGAAGATGTTCTTCATCGCGGAGATACTCTCATCGATTTCCTGAGTATTAGCGTTCCTGTCAATTGGAAGTTGGCAGTCCGGAAGGTCCCTAGCCAGAATTGTGTTAAAACGTCGAATGTCCATTCGGTCAAAATTGAAATAAGTAGAGTTTGTGCATTGTTGTAATTCCCCCGATTCTACAACAATTTCCACAGCCCGATGGTCGGAATTGAAGTCAAAAGTCCTGAGTCCATTTGATGAAATTGGGGAAGGTCTAATGTCAGACGACACCAAAAAATAGTCCAAAAAGGAGGAAGAGTCACCAGATACTCGTGTTGGATCCGCAGTTCGTTGTACGTCCATGCCCGGACAAGACAGTAAAAATTCACGTAAGTTATGTCCACTACGATTGCAGACGTTACCTCCAAAGTATGAGTGCTTTGCATTCAGGTCTGCCCCAATCAAGAGACCCCCCCTGGAAGAAAGGTTCATAATGGGATCCAAGTCCGAAATGGAAAGCAAAACTTGTGGCCTCAAGTAGGCAGAAATGATCGTAACTGTGCTACCATCAGTTCTGCCAACCCTAACAGCCGTATTCTCGATAGCCCCCAAGTCCAGTGCAATTCTGGTAGAGCCTAAAGTTTCCCTCACGAGTACGGCAGTCCCCCCACCACGTTCGTTTTGTCGGTCTTGTCTGTATGTCCTATACCCCCTTATGTCCAGTGTATGTCTGGGAGATAGTTTATGTTCGGCTAGTAAAAGAACGTCCGGTCGATGTTCCCTTAAAAATAGGTCCAAGTAATGCCTCTTGTGTCTAGACACAATGGAGTTCACATTGATAAAAATACACTTAATAGAATTATCCATCATGCTGGAGTGAAATTAGCATCCCAAGTAGAGCCCGGGACTTCTCACCATCATCACTGAGAGAACGATATTCTCTAGCGAAACCCTTCAGTTTACCTAAACAATTCAACAGATCGCTACCAAATAAACGTCTGCAGTCAGAATCAATCAAATCAAAGTCAGCCCTGGCAGAAGACAATGAAATACTATTCCCCGGATGGGATCCTTCAGAAGTACCTGGAGCAGATGCAGTACGACTACTATTAACCGTATTTGAACGTACTGCTGACCTTGCGGCAGCAGCATACGATAAACCATTCACCCGTGGGGCCGACGTTCCACCAGTGGAACCCGAAGTCCTCTTGGCAGCAATCTTACGTAGGAGTTCCAAACGTTTTGGGCACTCCTTGGAGCCAGCAGTGTGACCTTCTGTGTCACAGTTCGCGCATCGTACTGGCAGTCCCACCCTTCTGACTGCTTGTCCCGTAATGGGATCCGTAGTCAGCGTTTCCATAGTGTTCCCATCCTTCGCGGGTACCTGACAATTCCCCGGGCCATGAGAATCCCCACACTTAACACACCTGTAAGGCATATTACAGTTCCTAGCCACATGACCAAAGCGCTGGCAGTTATAGCACTGGACTACATCCCGTTTGGCGTGCTTCTCCATGAAAACTCTACAATGTAGAATAAATCTAATTTCCTTAAAACCCCTAAGGTCAGACTCCCTACCAAGTTGGAATAACCACCTATCATTTCCAAGCTTATGCAGACCCATGATTCTAACGCTAATCTGAAGACCCTGCATATAGCCTAGCACCTCCTCCTTATCAAAAGAGTCAGAAAGACCTCTAATTATAATCGAAAAAGGCCTTTGAGCCTTTGGTGTATGTGTATAATAATGTACACCTTCTTCACTAAGCATTGCTTTCAATTTATCAAAATCTACCAAGGTGCAGACCCCTATATTGGTAACGTGTTTACCAAGAATTTTAATATTATAATCCTTATGACCAAGTAAATTTTCCAATTTAGTACTAATATGCTTAACATTAATATTATAGGTTGTTACAACCGGAACAGACTTACTCTTAGTCATAGCCTCATTAGTCTTCTTTACAGCTTTCGTAGATACCTTACTGGATCTCGGAGCATCCTTCGAAACGGCTTGTTGCTTTGTTGCAGTATTCATCGGCTTCTTAATAGCAGATGAGCCAGCTGTCGCATCAGCCAGGCCTTCCTTCAAAGTAACTACAGAGTCATTGGATTCTGAAGCGGAATCTGCAATCTCCATCTCGTCCTCGCTAGAGGAACTTTCGGACACATTCTTAGGGTCAAAACCTCCTCGTACTAAAGCATCAAGATTGTTCTGCAGTCGTTCGTTGTGACTTAGAACACTTTCAAGTCTCTTGTTCACTAGAGCAAGTTGCTCAGTCAAATGATCAATAATCTTCTGCTGATCATCATCTGACCCCACTCTGGGTCTTTTAGTAGGGTAAAGACTTTCGTCTTTCCCCATTTCAAATGTACACAATACGCAGAAGGGTAGTATCTATCCGCATTTAGCAACGGAATCAAAGAAATTTACCCAAATAGTTCACTTATAATAGCAAAATTAACAAATTTATCACTTTGTTGCCTCCTATGGGCTTCTCATTCATTCGAATGTCACAAAATAATCAATATAAGGCAGACTGCCTACTATTATGACCAGGCTTCTCAAAAAGTCTATGGCCCAAAATATTCACTGTATATAGCAAGTGCCTACTATTTTCAGCACGCTTCTCAATTTTCCGAGTGATACTAAATTTCACAATTTAACACAAAAAATTTATTTTACTTGTCCTTTTTCAAGTTCACTATATTTTAATCACTCTGCACTATAAAACACTTTTCACTATCTTCCGCTTTTAGAACTTGTCACGATCACTGTTAACACAAGACTCATGTGATTTTTTGTGTGATGATTTGTATCTTCGAAAAGACCAACCAAATATGCTTCACTGGCTTCTTGCAAAGCCATAACAGCAGAACTCTGGAAACGTAAATCAGTTTTGAAATCTTGAGCAATTTCACGAACCAAACGTTGGAATGGCAATTTACGAATCAACAATTCAGTACTCTTCTGATAACGACGAATTTCACGCAAAGCTACAGTACCGGGACGATAACGATGTGGCTTCTTAACACCACCAGTGGCTGGTGCACTTTTACGTGCAGCCTTAGTAGCCAATTGTTTACGTGGTGCTTTGCCACCAGTCGATTTACGGGCAGTTTGCTTAGTACGAGCCATTTTCACTTCACTTTAGTTAGTCACTTTTCTTTTTTTTCTTTAACACACACTTAAACACTGTTCACACAAGAATATTTTGGCTGCGCTTCGGATACCCGGTTTATATAGAAAATTTGTCTAAGCAATAAACAAGGGTGTGTGGCCATGTATTGTACATTTGGTGGTTGATTTGTTAAACGAACAAGAACAGAAATTTAGTATAAATACCAGTGATCACCGCTAAGAAATTATTAGTTCTTGTGAATCATTTGTGAAGTGTGTTTTAAGTGAAAAAAATAAAGTAAAAAATGACTGGTCGTGGTAAAGGTGGAAAAGGCTTGGGAAAAGGTGGTGCTAAACGTCATCGTAAAGTGTTGCGTGATAATATCCAAGGTATTACCAAGCCAGCTATTAGACGTTTGGCTCGTCGTGGTGGTGTAAAACGTATTTCTGGTTTGATTTACGAAGAAACTCGTGGTGTCTTGAAGGTCTTTTTGGAAAATGTTATCCGTGATGCTGTCACCTACACTGAACACGCCAAGAGGAAAACCGTTACCGCTATGGATGTCGTCTATGCATTGAAGAGACAAGGTCGTACTTTGTACGGTTTCGGCGGTTAAACATTCATCATATTTTTATATTTTGCGGACAATTTTTAATAGAAAACTAAAACAATCGGTCCTTTTCAGGACCACAAAATGTATTTTAAAAGAGATTTTTATTTATTACAAACTACTAAATATTATTCAAAAATATGAAAAATTATACCATATATAGTATTTGACTTTGAGATTTTTTTTATTTATTTGAGTATGATTCAAATATATTTTAAAATAATCATATTTTTTGGTTTTTTATACAATATTTGTGTAGAAAATTTCGTTTGTTTACAATTTATTTTGCTAAATGAACATTTTTCACACATTTCTTTATAATTTATGCATTTCTTTACCTAAAACCTTTTAAAACAAAAATTAAATTTTGCCGACGGCAAAACGATATATTTTGCCGACGGCAAAATTAAATGTTTTTATAAGAACATTTTTTTATTTTTTTTTTTTTCTATAAAATGTCTATTAAAAATACTTTTAAATAGAATAAAAAATAGATAATTTTTATTATTATTTTATAATCAATTTTAAGCATAAATGTTTTGACAAAGAAAATAATAAACATAAAATTTCTTAGTTTTGCTTCAGTTACGGATATAACAATAAAAAAAATAAAAAAAGAAAACAAATTTCTAAACTGTACGTAGGTTAGGTTAGGTTGTTGAGGCAGTCGGTCCTTCGACCGACTCACTTGGGTCCTTATGGTCCCGTTGTGATACCCTATAGCGGATCCTACGAGAGGAAAACCAAAACCTATGGGACATTACATGTCCGTGTTCGATATGGTATTAAACCAGCCTGAGGCACGAATGAACGATTCTATCTTATATACGTCAATATTTGATAGAGCCGCAAGTTCATGCAGTATTGGACTGCCTAGAAACTCAGTCCTGATATTTGCTAGGGCGGGGCAGAGACAGAGGAAGTGTTCAACAGTTTCCTCTTCATCCTCGCTCTGACAGCTCCTGCAGAAATCATTGTATGGAAGATTTAATCTTCTTGCATGCGCACCTATAGTACAGTGCCCTGTTAGGATGGATACCAATATACGTAATCTCATCCTTGAAAGCCCCATCAAGCAAAAAGACCTTCGTTCATCATAGAGAGGCCAGGTCATTCTTGATATAGAGCAATAGGTCAGTGATGACCATCTGGTCTGCGCAGACCCATATAGTTCATGCTGAATAAAGGCCTTACAGCATGAAAGCGGAATACCAACCAGTGTGTCAGTATCCCATGTGTTGAGGCGTGAACCGGCTTTTGCTAGTTCGTCCGCTTTTCTATTTCCGGGAATATTAGAGTGACCCGGTACCCAGAGTAGCTCCAGGCACGAATGGTTCGCCATCTCGTCAAGAGACACCCGACATTCGCGAACCAGTCTGGATGTCGTATAGACACCAGATAGAGATTTAATGGCAGGTTTACTGTCAGTACAGATTCGGATATTACCGTTGCATATCCTATAGTACCTCATCCAGTTAACCGCTCTTTTTATGGCTGAGATTTCAGCCTGTATGACGCTGCAGTAGTCATTCAGCCTAAAACATACCGCTTTGTTTAAGCGGGGGATAAAGAAACCACCACCCACGCCTTTAGTGGACTTAGATCCATCAGTAAAGATGTCAAGTGTTTCACCTTCTGAGAAGGATGGTTCGTTTGACATCTTAACTGTGAATTTTTTGTCCGGAAGGGTCGTGGGAGAGCAGTAATCGATATTCTCGGGGATGTAACTGTACGTAGAGAAAAGCGAAATGTGTACACGAAAACAATTCCATCATCGGCATACAAACAAAGATTCGTATTGAAATAGTAACAACAACATTGTTATTTTTTGATGTAGCTACAGTTGTTTGTGTAAAAGCAAAACAAACAAGAGTAGGGATGATTGAGATTTAAACGATTTTTGAGAATAAAAGTAATATTCATAGAATAGGAGAATTATAAAGAACTGTATTGCATGTATATTATATAAGTAATATTAAGGGAATATTAAAAAACTAAATTTATTTGTATATATTTTAATAAATTGTAATTTATAAAACAAAATTTTTCTCTTTTTGAAAATGAATTTGTCGTCCTGAAAAGGACGGATTGTTCTATTTTTTGTTATACGATGGTCTGTATTATATTTTCTCGATGTTATTTCTTTAGTCTTGATTAATTTAGGCTTTCTTTTCTGTTTTCTTGGGCAAAAGTACAGCTTGAATGTTTGGCAAAACACCACCTTGAGCAATCGTTACACCAGATAATAATTTGTTCAGTTCTTCGTCATTACGAATAGCCAATTGCAAATGACGGGGAATAATTCTGGTCTTTTTGTTGTCACGAGCAGCATTACCAGCCAATTCAAGAACTTCAGCAGCCAAATATTCCATAACGGCAGCTAAATATACTGGAGCACCGGCACCAACACGTTCAGCATAATTGCCTTTACGTAACAAACGATGTATACGACCGACGGGAAATTGCAAACCAGCACGATTTGAACGAGACTTTGCCTTGCTCTTAACTTTTCCACCTTTACCACGACCAGACATTTTTCACTTTATTATTTTTAGTTAACACTTCACTTTAGCACTGAATACACAAAACTAATATCATTTCAACACAAGTAATCGAGTATTTATACTTTTTCTGCTTACTAGTAATACGTTTAGGGGTTGATTATCTACACACGAAAATAAGTAAATAAACCAGTATATTGTACACACAAAAAAGGTATATAATGTGTACATATTGAGTTGAATTTTAAAATTTGTGAACAGTGTTAAAAGTGTTTGTGAAGTGTAAACTACTAAAAATTAATTAAATTGTGAAAAATGCCTCCTAAAGCAAGTGGAAAAGCAACCAAGAAGGCTGGCAAAGCCCAAAAGAATATTAGTAAAAGTGATAAGAGCAGAAAACGCAAGCGTAAGGAAAGTTATGCTATCTACATTTACAAAGTATTGAAGCAAGTACATCCTGATACTGGTATTTCATCAAAGGCCATGAGTATCATGAACAGTTTTGTTAATGATATTTTTGAACGTATTGCCGCTGAAGCATCTCGTTTGGCTCAATACAATAAACGTTCGACCATCACCAGTCGGGAAATTCAAACTGCCGTTCGTCTATTGTTGCCCGGTGAATTGGCTAAGCATGCCGTCAGTGAGGGTACCAAGGCTGTCACCAAATATACCAGTTCCAAGTAAATTTAATTTACTTAAATCGCCGTTTAATTCTTTTTCCTATTACAAAAGGCCCTTTTCAGGGCCACAAAATACATTTAAAAAGAGTTATTTATTGTTTAAAACATATATATTTTTTCATTACATAATAAAAATTGTGATTATTGTAAAAATTTTCATATGTTCCAAGTAAATTTACTTTTATCTCCGTTTGATTCTTTTTTTATTATTACAAAAGGCCATTTTCAAGGCCACAAAATACATTTAAAAAGAGTCATTTATTGTTTAAAACATATAATTTTTCATTGCACAATAATAAATGTGATTATTGAAAAATTTTTCATTATTTTTATTTAATAAAACGAACGAAACAGTATTTTATTTCAAATTTGCTTTCAAATTTTATAACTGACAAATTTTGATTTTATTTATCAAATTCACAAACCAAACTGTGTTGGTTTGTGAATTTGACAATTTTAATAAAAATGGTATGAATTTTTACTATTTTAGAGCAAGGGTGTTATCGGATACTTAATTTTTAAATTTGGTGAAGTTGTTACAACTTATGAAATTTAAAAAGTTTTTTTTTTTAAATATTTAAAATTAACGATTTAATTCATAAAAAATACTAAAACTATCAATCCTATTCTGAAGAAAATGAATAATGAACAAATTTTCTATACAAAATCAAAATTTTATATTTATTTCATTTAATTCTTATTGTATTAGGTAAATTATTTCATTTGAATATGTAAAAATGTTTTTGTTTTGATTTTTCTTACTTACCAATAGTTTAAGAAGAAATTTTCTTTTACTTTTAATATTTGTACAAAATCCAACTCATTAAATAGTTTTTTTTACGATTCCATTACCTACTGTTTACTTAGTCTACTGAGTTTTATTTTATTAGTTTGTGTTTTACCGACGGCTTATGTGAAATTTTCATTGTAATTACAATTAAAATACACTAAAAAATGTGATTATTGTCAAATTTGTCATTATTTTTATTTAATAAAACGAACGAAAAAATATTTAATTTCAAACTGCTTTCAAATTTTATAACTGACAAAATTTGATCTTATTTATCAAATTCACAAACCAATCGATGTTGGTTTGTGAATTTGACAATTTAAATAAAAATGGTATGTGTTTTTTACTATTTTAGACCAAGAGTGTTATCTACACTAATTTTTTGAAATAAGTTAAGTTATTCGTTAATTATGAAATTTTAACAGTTTTTATTTTTGAAAATATAAAAAATTAACGATTTATTCATCTTATTCGTATTGTTTATTCAAACAAAATAATTTTTGGGAATTATTTTGTCAATTATTTCATTTGAATATGAAAAAATGTTCTTTATTGTTTTGATTTTTCTAATTTTCCAATAGTTTAAAAAGAATTTTCATTTTACTTTACTCTTAAAATAACCCAACTCATTAAATATTATTTTATGATTCCATTACCTCATTAAATATTATTTTATGATTCCATTACCTATTGTTTACTTAGTCAATTGAGATTAAATGAGTTTTAGTTTATTAGTTTGTGTTTTACCGACGGCTTATGTGAAATTTTCATTGTAAATAAACATTTTTTCCTACCTATATGTGTATTTTTGTCCCTTTTCATAGCGATTATTCTTACTATTTTTATTTTATTTTGTGAAATATTTTAATAATATACAAGTTTTGAATTTGTAATTTAATCTCTTTTGTTGAAAAAATTTGTAGCCCTGAAAAGGGCTGTTTTAGATAATAGTACTTTTTGCAATATTAAAAATAAATTAGATTTACTTTTTGACTGCGGCCTTTTTGGCAGCTGGTTTCTTTGCTGGCGATGTTGCTTTTTTGGGTTTGGCTGCAGCTGCGGTTTTTGCTTTGGGCGCTTTTGTTTTAGTTGCTGGTGCCTTTTTGGCGGGTTTTGCTTTAACTGTACCTGTCTTTTTAGCAGTTTTTGCCTTGGATTTTTCTGTATTTTTCTTTTCAGCAGTCTTTTTGGCTGCAGATGGTTTCTTTGCAGGCGCAGCAGCGAGTTTCTTTTTAGTAGCGACTGCTGTTTTCTTCTTTTTTTCACTAGCAGCAGCTACCTTTTTCTTTTCAGCGGCGGGTTTCTTCTTTTCTTTTGGCTCTTTGGAGGCAGCTGCTGACAATTTGAATGAACCAGCAGCACCCTTACCTTTTGGTTGAATTAATTTTCCACTATCAACGGCACTTTTTAAATATTTCTTTATGAAAGGCGATAATTTTTGAGCATCTACCTTATAAGTACTGGCAATATATTTTTTAATAGCAGAAAGAGATGAACCACCACGTTCCTTTAAAGTTTTAATAGCAGCATCAACCATTTGTTGAGTTGGAGGATGAGATGGCACAGTAGATGGTTTCTTTGCCTTGGGAGTAGTAGTTTTTTTAGCCTTTTTCTCAGCAGCTGGAGCGGCAGCAACAGGAGAGGCAGTATTTTCAACAACAGCGGTATCCGACATTTTGTATTTGTTTATTTTATTTTTTCACTTTTTTTAAACACACTTGTATATGGTAGTATAACTTTTCGATTGTGTGCACACACGAAATTTTAAGGTACTTTGTTATAATGAGAAGTTAATAGTAGTCGATAGCTATAATTTGTTAAATTTTTAGTGAGAGCATGAGTAAAATTCAACAAAAGTTTTCTACTTTTTTCTTATTTTTCTTTAATTTTTAATAAAAATTTTATAAATTTATTGCTATTCTTGATAGTATGGGTTTTCTAGATTGCATTTTATTAAAAATTATTATATTGTTTTTGTCAAACAATATTTATCATCATTTTTGTGATAAGTTTTTGATACATTTACCATAAAATGTAAATAAAATGTCAATAAATTGTTACATTTTTAGGAAATTTTATAACCAAGTTGATTTTATAAGAATATTACAAATGTTTTTTAAATGATTGATTAAAAAAATTCTCATAATTTTAATTTTTAGATTTTTGAAAATTATTTTTAAATTTGCTGTATTACTTGGTGATTTTTCTTGTTTTGCCACTGTGAATTTGCATTGTTTACATTTTTTCATAAATTTAATCAAATATCAAAAATAATAAAAAATTTTAGCCACATATCCAAATAATATTTATGACATTTTTCTAAAATAATTTCATAAAAGTTTTTCTTAAGTATTTTTCTTATTTTGTCACTTTAAATATATACTGTTTACATTTTTTCTATTTTTGGTCCACAAATTTAAGCAAATATAAAAAAATATTTAATGAAATTTTTCGCAATAAATCCTTATAATATCATAAATATCTTTCTAAAGTAATTTTATAAACATTTTTGTTAAATATGAAAACAAAAATTACTCTAAATTTAAAAACATTTTTAAGGAAAATACAAGTTTTTATAAATTTTCGATTAAAAAACTCTAATTTTGATATTTAGTCTCTCATTTTCTAAATTTCTTCAACACATCTTAAAACAATTTTTGTGAAATTATTTTCAATGTCATATGAAGTGTTAAACAAAATAAATTTCAATTTTTTTCAAAAAATTCTTTTTTAATGGAAATATATTATTAATTTCTTTGTTTATATTAAAAGTAGAAAAAAATTAAACTATTATTTCATAATATTCATATTATTTGTATTAAAATCCATAATTTCTATTAAAAAGTCAAATGAAAAAAGCCGACGGCAAAATTAATTCTTATGCCGACGGGAAAATATCATGTTATGCCGTCGGTAAAATAATGCTTCAACGAAAAATAAAATACTCTTTATAAATATGTTTATTGGCCCTTAAAAGAACCGATTCAGCATTGTTTACATAAATAAGAAAAAAAAAACTCTCTTTTTAAATTTTATTCAGTGGTCCTGAAAAGGACCGATTTTTTGTTACAATTCATCATCTCTATTTTCTTTCTTAAGCACGTTCACCACGAATACGTCTGGCCAATTGAATATCTTTCGGCATAATTGTGACACGTTTTGCATGAATGGCACACAAATTTGTATCTTCGAAAAGACCAACCAAATATGCTTCACTGGCTTCTTGCAAAGCCATAACAGCAGAACTCTGGAAACGTAAATCAGTTTTGAAATCTTGAGCAATTTCACGAACCAAACGTTGGAATGGCAATTTACGAATCAACAATTCAGTACTCTTCTGATAACGACGAATTTCACGCAAAGCTACAGTACCGGGACGATAACGATGTGGCTTCTTAACACCACCAGTGGCTGGTGCACTTTTACGTGCAGCCTTAGTAGCCAATTGTTTACGTGGTGCTTTGCCACCAGTCGATTTACGGGCAGTTTGCTTAGTACGAGCCATTTTCACTTCACTTTAGTTAGTCACTTTTCTTTTTTTCTTTAACACACACTTAAACACTGTTCACACAAGAATATTTTGGCTGCGCTTCAAGTTTCAAGTTTCAAGTTTATTTTCCAAAAGTTTTAGTTTTA